TACTCACCATGCCCACGCATCCTCTATTTCGTTGTTACTTATTTCGCAATTAACCTGTACTACAGGCCGTCCGGCTATCCGCGTCCCAGCGAGAAATTCAAAAAATCGTTTTTGCAGCATAACTCTTTAAGAATATGTCCCTAAACGGGTTTTTGAAGTTTCATTTATTTTGGGAGTTACAGCACATTTGTGATGCGCCGACAAAAGCGACTTGCAGCTCGGGCCAGCTTTAAAGTCGTTTTTCTCTACTTCTATTTTAAAAACGTGTGCATGATATCTCAAGTTCTACTCAATAGATTTACTTGAAATTTTATACAGAGCTTCTTTAAAAATATTACTATCGCACTACGAGAGGACTTTTGAAAAATAAAATTTTGTATATAATTCTGTTTTATGGCAACGATTTTTTTCATGTTCATATTTTTATGAACAATTGGCAACAAGAAGATGGAGCATTTGTGGTAGTGTTCCTTCATCATCATTAGTAAAAAACAAAATGGTTCCTCATTTAAACGAAAATAACTAATGAATCTGCAACAAGCATTATTTAAAAACATTTAATTGTCAATAAATTTATATACAAATATTCAATATTTTATTTGCTTCCTTATCAGCTTATTTTATGTTACTTTATTACTTATTTACAAATTCCGCCACATGTCGTTAAACTCATACATTTCTTTCATTGTATGTATAATAATGTTTTGTTTGTGAACAGTATATACTCCATTGCATATCCTTATAATTATTGATATTTAATATATAATTCTAGTAAACACAAGTATGATGTATATGCTTTTAACCTTCTGTAAGTTTTGATAATCTTTGGTTTTTTTCTACCGTTTGTAGTTTTTACAACCAAATTATAAGAAATTGGACCTCTTAATTAATTTATATTTACCGCAAATGGAATGACAATATCCAGTTTCCCAACTTCTAACAATTAAAACGGCTATACGTAAATAACTTTACATTTCTGTTGATTAAGATGAAATCGCAAATGATCATACGAGCATAGTCAGAGGTTAGCGACTCTTTAAGGGTTAGGTGGGTTTTAGAGGTTCAAAACATGAATTTTTTACTTTTTTTATTTACCATCACAAATATTTTTAATCAATTCAGCATATCGAAGATACATATTTTAAACAGTATTTTGTGACATTTTTATTTAAAATTTCCAATTAAGTTTTGAGATAAACGCGTTTAACTCCGAAGTGATGCATTAATGTATTATATTTATTAACTCTTAGAATTTACTCGGATCGATTTGAAATTTTAGAAGAATATATTAAATATATGTATTTTAAAAATAGTACAATATTATTTAATATGCCAGAAATTATCGATTTTTTAAATGTTCAAACCGACCTAACACCTTAAGTGCTATAGTCAGTACGAAAATTGTTCTTTAAAACATACATACATATGTATATATGTATGCACCGCTAAAATTTCACTTCCATCGCATTAAAGATTTTCAGATTTAGCTTTCTTGTTTCGTTCATCTAACGATTTTAGTAGCACCTAAAACTAATCGGGATGACATCTAGTACTTCAGCAACTAATCGACTAAGTAAGTGACTAACCTAATTGGGTGTATATCATTACCTACCTATCATTAGTTTAAAAATTTGTGATTGGGACTATAGCCACCCCTCTTACAATATATTACCAAATAATGTCTTTAATGTGTTTCACTGTTTTCAAAAATGGTTATAATCAGACTATTTCCTTTACCTTTTCAAACCCCAAATACTGAGTATAAAACCTTCAATGGCTATGTCTGCCTTTACGCCGAAAATATAGTATTATGTAACATACTAAACCAAATTAAATTAACATATTTTTATATGGGTATACTGTTTGGTGCCGAATATTAGTGGAATCCGTTCATAAAAATGTATTATGTTGTAAAATCCAAGACACGTTTGCGTAGTTGTCAAAATTGCAAACCAATTTCATTTTCAATTTTCAATGTGTCACAGAATTTGCATGGATTTTCGTCTTTTGAACATATGCAAAACCAATATTCGAATCAGCTGTTTACTATTGTGACAAAACTTGCAAATGAATAAATGTGGGAACGTTTGACATATATAAAATACCGAATAAAGACTACGTAAATTTACAATGAGTTCCGCTATTTTGGCTTTTATTTTATTGGAAGAAAAACCAACGAAAAATTAAAAGGAAGATATTAAAATATCACAGTAATTCTCTTGATGCACCAGGGAGTCGCATGGAAGATTTGGATTGTATTTACTGTATGTTTGTATACATGCTTACTTTACAGATTATTGACTGAATAAAGACGCATTTGGGTGCTAAATTCCTTTTGTAAATTTTCTTAAAAATCTGGATTTTTCCATAAACTCAATAATTATGACATTTTGTGTTTTATGCTTATATTTTCCTCTATAGAAATAACGATAAATTAAATCGTAACAATAATATAAATTATTTTCTTAACTTACATTTCAAAACTGTCCAGTTTGTATTACATCGCACATTACTTGTCAATCAGATCCTGAAATCAATATTTTAACATGGAATATTCCACATAATACAGCGCTCGCCGATGATGAATTTTATATACCAAGTCTTCTAACTGTAGGCAATTCAATCTTGGATCTAATTTACCCATCTTACAAAAAACGCTATTAGGCTGGATTGTTTCGGGACACTATAAGATGGGCAGTAACAACATATCTAAAACATCTTGTTTATTTTTAGCCAATGAATCTTTAGATGCCAAATTGGAAAACCTGTGGAAATTGGAAGAAGTCACTACCATACCAGAGGCATGGACTCGTGAACAACAGAGTTGCGATCACAAATACAATTCAACTCTGTCAAGAAGGCCCTACGGCATTGAGACGATTCAATGCACAAGAACGTCGATTAGCCCACAACTGAAAGCACAATACGTTGAATTTATGAGCGACTACGAGAGTTTGGGTCATATGAGCGCAGTAAAAAATCCAAATCTCAGCGAACCGCATTATTATATACCACATCATTGTGTGCTAAAACCAACAAGTACAACAACAAAGCTTCGAGTTGTATTTGACGCTTCCTGTCGAACCACATCCCAAAAATTCATTAAACGATATTCAGATGGTTGCCCCTACAATTTAATGCGAACTTTTTCTTCTTCTTCTTCGTTTTCGATTCCATAGGTTTACACTCACTGCCGACATAGTCAAGATGTATCGTTAAGTATAATTGCACGATGATCGAAAGTTCCAGTACATTCTGTGGAGGAGTTCACCGACTGAATATATTCACACGCATCAACTAAATACTGTCTAGCTGAGCAGCATTCAGAACAACTTACAATTGGCGCAAAAATCGTGAAGTCATCATCCTACGTAGACGATCTACTCTCTGGTGCTGATACTCTAACCGAATTTTTACTGATAAAGCAAGAGGTAATACACTGTTAGAATAAGGACAGTTTAAATTAACAAAGTGGCATTACAATCATCATCAATTCAGAGAAGACGACTCTATAAATGATCTAATCGTAGATACATCCATCACTATGACACTTGGACTAAAATGGAACCAAAATCTTGATTGTTTTATATTTTCATTTGAAGTAAAACTAGCACTAACTGGTCGTCTTACAAAACGTCCCATCATCACTTTACGACCCACTTGGACCTTTGGTTCCTGTTGTTATAACATAAAAAATTTTGTTGCAAGAAATATGGCTACTTAAGTTGGATTGAGATCAATCTGTGCCTCAGACCATTGAATTTGTTGAGAAAAAGTTTCTTAACTGCTTGTCGTATCTTTCACTAATTAAACTGCCGAGGTCCTGTTTTTTGACAGATTTGGAATCCCTTGAGATACATGGATTTTGTGACGCATCGATTCGTGCATATGGCTGAGCAACATATACTCGCGTTATTAAGAAATGCGGCCTTACTACTACCACTCGCCTACTTATTGCGAAGTCCAGAGTGGTACCTACCAAAAAACAATCGTTACCCAAATTAGAACTTTGCGGCGCTCTTCTTCTTGCTCGCCTTTTAGCAAAAATCAAACCAACAACTTTTTTTCTAACAAATCTTTTAACATTTTTCTCAGCCAGACTCACAAATAGTATTACATTAGCTGAAGATCATTCTGCAACACTTTCAACTTTTGTTGGTAATCGAATTTCGCAAATTCAAGATTTAACCAAAGGTGCCCATTGGAGACATGTACCTACGCATTGTAACCCAGCGGATGTTGCCTCTGGAGGATATACTGTAAAGGAACTTGTTAATTCAATATGGTACACCGGACCAAAGTATCTATACGAAAACTGAGATAAATTGTCAAAGAACAACTGCGATGATATCGACATGGAAGTTGTCGATAGGGAGAAACGAAAATCAGCATTCAATACTCGTACAATTGTTAGCATCAATTATATTTTGGAAATTGTGAATTAGCGGAGTATTTATACCAACAGCCTTCGATTAATAGATTGGATGTTCCGCTTCATCAATAAATTTCGACATGGTGCAAATCTTAATGACTCATTAACACTTTACCCACAAGAGTTACATCACGCCTTTCTTTGCATAATTTGGAATATTCAACATAAACATTTCGCTAATGAAATTCATCTTTTACAGAAAGAGCTTACGATAAATGGCCCGTTACGCTATTTACATCCTTTTCTCGAGTATACCGAAGGATTTTAAATACTCAAAGTTGGGAGTCGATTGGAATCAGTAGATATTCCAGAAGAATGAAAACACTTCATCCTGTTGCTAAGCAAATGCGAATTTGTTGTGCATTACGTTCGCCATCTACAACGGAAACACTACCATGCATAACCCAAGGCACTCGTAGCACTGATACTTACATCGTGCACACATTGTATACGTTACAAGTCGAAGCTGATGACCCAAGTAATGGGACAGTTACCTGTCGAGCGATTAACTCCATCTCGCCCTTTTGTCCGGTGCGGTATTGATTTCTGTGTATCAGTCAACGTATATTTGCGTATTCGCACCTTATAAAGCGTACAAGGGATCTTCGTTCGTCCAGCGACAAGGGAGGCTCACATCGAACTCATATCGGATCTATCCACGGACGCATTCTTAGCGTCATTGAAGCGCATGATTGGAAGAAGAGGTCTACCCGCTGACATCTTTTGTGATAACGCAACAAATTTTGTGGGTGCTTGCAACAAACTAGCAGAATTAAAGTAATTTTTGTTTAAAACCTAAAACAAAGATGCAATTATAAAATATTGTGCTAATGAATTTATAAATTTCAATTTTTTTCCTCCCAGAGCACCTGATTTCGACGGTATTTTGGAGGCAGCAGTCAAATCTGCTAAGGGTCAAAAATGCAAGACTAACAGCTGAGAAACTATATACAGTCCTGGTTAAGATAGAAGCTGTGTCAAATTCTCGGCCAATAACACCAATGTCATCGGATCCAAACGATTATGAAATATTAACTCCGGGGCATTTTTTTATTGGTAGTGCGCTTAGGGCACTCCCAGGGCGGAGATTGTCAGCTAACATCAACAAGCATTAAACAGATGTTTTGGAGCAGGTGTTCAAATGAATACATATACGAACTTCAAGTACAATCAAAGTGGTTTTTGGATCGACCAAACATCAACAAGAACTCCATGGTTATCATCAATGAAGATAATTTACCACCACAAAACTGGGACATTGGAAGAGTTATAAACTGTATTCCAGGAAAGAACTTTTAAGTACGTGTGGTGGACTTTCGAACAATGTCGGGAATAATTCGGCGACCAATTCACAAGCTAGCATTTCTACCTGTTTGAAATGCCTTTCAACGGGGCCGGGATGTTGGGTCACCGATTGATAACCACTGTATTATACGGTCATATGTTCTTACATATTTTTTTCTGTTTCTTGTTTTCTATTTATTTGTCTAATATTCAAGGGCAAACATTAGAAGTCATTCAACTCAATGCAGTTAATAATTGTATTTGCATTGTGTATATATGTACATATTTGCTTAATTGCGTTTGCTTTGTACGATTATGCTACCGCTATGTTTTCGTCCACGCAACTATATGAATATTTGTTTGTGCACATTAGCTAGTCCCATTTAACATGTACTAAGCTTAATATGTAAGCAGCCTCTTGCAAAGTTGAATTCCCATTTTTTACATTATATACGAAAGAGTAATAGCGTAAAGTATGTATTTGGGTTATTCTCCTTTTATGAACTGTTAAATTTATGTAACCTACATCCTTATGTATTGTATATATGCACTAATACAAAACGAAATTATGTAATTAGCGGAAACTATGTATTGAAATATTGCTTAGAATATTATTTAAGGAAAAGAATTTTGCAAATAAAGTTACTCTAATAGCTGAACACACATAGCGTCAATACTCGGCCCTTGTATTTTATCGTTGCTGCAACTTCGCTTAAACTTTTCGCTTTTACGATATTTACGCGGTTACAAAAAAAAAGCTTTGTAGCCCTACAATATCTCTTTGTCCTATAAAATTTATATTTTTTTAATAATAAATATCTTATGTCCTTTCTAATACATATGTCCATAAAACAATTGTGTATAAAGTTTCGTGATGATCGGTTACATGGTTTCGGTGTGAAAGCGTAACAAATATACTCA